TTTTTTTTTGTCAGAACTTTATATTATAAATCATGATTACAAATAGGCAATCCTTTCAAAGATTATTAAGTAATGGCTGGCGCCTTACCTCACATAAAACCAACCTTTCACTAAACAATCAGCGTTATTCGCGTATTTTACAACCATATTCCCGAGTAAAATCTGTTTCAACGTTCCACAAGGCTAACGAAACTATTCCACCTAATGGTCAAGGAATTCGATATGTTGTTGGTTCTGCAGTAATTGCCGGTCTTGGTGGATCGATTTATTATTATTTTCAAAAAAAAAGGAGAAACCAATCAATTGATAATTCAAATAATCAACATCATAAAATGATTCTTTCGCCAATAGAGGCTACATTAAAATTACGAGAAAATCAATTATCATTCTTACTTCAACGTAATAACGGAGTTTATCGTTATGATACAAATCAATTAGCATCAAATAATCCAATTGAGGATACAAAGAGTGAATTAATTATTCCAAGTTCAAAAAATGGAGGTGATCGTTTATTTTTTGGTATATATGACGGTCATGCTGGTTGGAATACTTCACAACTATTAAGTAAAAAATTAATACCCTATGTTAAAGAACAACTTAATAAAGCTTATGATGGGTATGGGGAATATGCAAAATTGATTTCAAATAGAGAAGAATTAATCTCAAAAGCTATTCAAAATGGGTTTATTGAATTGGATGAAGAGATTGTTATTCACTCTATTGATAGATTATTGAATACGTCAAATGGATCCGGTGGCATTTCTTATATTAATGAAAGTCTATTATCGGCATTGTCGGGGTCTTGTGCAATACTTGCATATATTGATACGGCTACGAATGATCTTTATGTCGCTTGCACGGGAGATTCAAGAGCTGTACTTGGTGTCAAAGATCCAAAAACTAAAGAATGGAAACCAATACCTTTAAGCGAGGACCAAACAGGCAGAAGTGAACATGAAGTAGAAAGACTAGAAAGAGAACACCCGGGAGAAAGTAACATTATTTCAAAAGGACGAGTTTTTGGAGGATTGGAGCCAACCAGAGCATTCGGCGATTCCAAGTAAGAAATCCGATGTTTATTATGTTAGCTATTTTATCTTTAGAATGGAATTAATGAATTACCTTTTCATTAATTAGATATAAGTGGGATAAAGGTTTACAAGAGGTGATTTATTCTAAATTTTTTAACGAAAAGCGTAGCGTCCCTGGTGGTGAACGATTTAAAACCCCACCCTATGTCACAGCAAAGCCCGAGGTTACACACCATAAGATTGGTGCTGATGATAAATTCTTGGTTTTAGCAACGGATGGTTTATGGGATCGGTTATCAAATGCTGAGGTTATAGAACTTGTTGGACTTTTAATTGATGGGAGAAGAAATGGGAAAAATGGTGGAGAGATCACCATACAAAAAGATTTGAATGTTAATGGCTCAAAACAACAAAAAGAATTTGCATTTATTGACGAAAATGCGTCTACACATTTGATACGCAACGCTCTTGGCGGCGCGGTTGAAGATGTTTTATGTGCAATGTTATCTCTTCCGCCACCAATGTCAAGAAGGTGGCGAGACGATATTACCGTAACAGTGATATTTTTTGGCAAAGATTAATCTAAATAGGTTGATGAGAGGACAGAACACCCTTTCCATGCAAACCGGATTACAAGCTTTTATTATTTAACCGATTAAATGAACGATTTCCGGATAGTGTACAGTAAAAGTCACTGTAATTATCGAAGCTAGAGTTTGGAACCGGTTTATTTTTTATATGTTAAAACCGGTTTATGCCATATGAAAAATAACCGAATTCAAACTCTCATTGAGTTAAAAATCTGACACGCATTTTAATCCCATATCCATAAACAGCCTTGATTGCGGTTTTTCCTGTTTCTTTTCTTCTTGTTCAAAAAATTGAGTTATAGACTCATGAGGTACATCTTCGGACCTAAATGCAAGCTATATAAGTATATGTTTGATGAAATGGCAAAAAATCTGCCAGGTTTTGTCGACCATTTAGCCTGGATTGATCAACATCTGCTTGCATTAAGCTAATCCCAAAGTTATAATTAGTTGAGGGTTCGGTTAGAGTTAGAATGTGATTTTTAGTTCATAGGCGAAATTTTGAAATAGAAAATTTTTTTCGTAATTTTGTCGATCATTATGGACAAACCTGGCACAGATTTTTTGTTTCGATGAAAAAGTAGTAAAGAAATTTTAGTTGAAAGATACCATGTTACAGGAATAGCCCCTTTCTTTAGTAAGTTTTCACAAGTTGCCCAGCTGAAGCGCATGACTCGTGGAAATCCAAATATGGGATCCATATTATTTTTTAACCAGTGCATTGTGTTGGGATCTTTTATTTTTTTATTAGCTTACGTAATTAATTTGCGCGTAACAAAAAGTCGACAGTCGTTCACAACAAACCTGACGGGTATCCGGAGCCAAATGTTTTTGACGACTTTAATTCTTTTTCAATATATGTCCAATGTTTCAAGACTTGATCGCGCGTGACTTTAGCGCAAATGCTTGCGGCACTCACGATAGGAAACTTACTATCTGCTTTTTTTTCCACAGTTATGCTTATTCCAGGAAATATGTTCGAAAGTTTTGTTTTATATGACTCGGGAGGTCCTACTGTATCAACATATATCTATGTAAAAATGACAATTTTATATATGATATGAGGACACATCTAGATAATTAACACATAGCATTCACGTGACTACTGGAATAACGTGGCCGGTGGAGTGGTTGGTCAACTAATCAAATCAAACCAATTTTTATACGAATGTATCGTTACACGAATGAATATAACTTTTCAACAAGAATTTATTATACGAAAGTGATGAATTTTTGAAATCTGAATTCTTTTGAACTTAAGAATAACATAAAAAAGTATGTTTTTAATTTGTCTTTTTGCATTTAAAATTTCAATATTTTATATAGTTTATAAAATATTAAAATTTTAAATACAAAAAGAAAAATCCTCATGACAAATTAAAAAGTTTGCTTTTTTAATCTGTTTTATGTTATTCTTAAGTTCAAAGAATTAATACTTCAAGAGGATTTAAATTCCTATTGAAAAGTGGTACAACAATACACTCGTGTTAAAAATTGGCCTAATTGTTTAACTATGGGTCTACATATAGATTTGATTTAATAGTTGACCAACCACCCCAACGTGGCCGGAATCGGAGTTAGTGTCTACAACTAACCTCTGTCACGTTGACCTCTTGAGCTAACACCTGCCGTATCAGTTGGATCGTGGTATCATGTGCTTGAGCATTTAGATTATACTTATTTCTTCAAGATAAAATAAACGGTGTTAGTTATAGGTTAATTGTTAATTCTCATTCATTTATATTCACATTTTTAGCATATTCCACGAAATATCTTGAGGTGACAATACACGCACACCCCACGCGATATTGTCCTTATGTGATTGAATTAATTGAAAATGAGATTCTCGATGACTTTCTTTAAGAGTTTTTGAGTCTTTTTAATGCAAATGAAAGGGCGCAAAAACTGTTACTCAAATATAAAAGCAAAATGCCGTTAATAAAGTAAAATTATATACCAACGAAGCCCAATTTAGAAACTTGTTCGTATTTAGAGAGTGGACAATAACAGATACCATAAACCATTGGACCTATTTAGAAATTAATTACGTGTTATTGTGTATATTAAATTACGGGTTAATTGCTAGATTAATATTACCAAGAACGGGACCTCTCCCAGCTTCGTCTACGCCCAAAATGCAAGGTTCTCTTTCGTCGATTTCCAATGCCGAAGGTAATGGTGAATGATAAGTATATGAACTAGTTAAAGGTCCCGCTTGAACCGACGGCGCGTCAAAAACGACATCCTCATCTTCTGAAAATGACGAATTGTCTAAGTAATCTATTTCCATTCCATCGTCAAGTTTTAGTGCGTGTTCAGAATTTAACGCGTCCATGATAAAGTTATTAAATCATTCCAATTCTTTCAATATGCGCCTATTATAGTTAGCCAATAAAATCCCAAGGATCGACAACCAACCGAATTAATTTTTAAAAATGCTTAAGAAACATTCAAAATGTCAACTCTTTATCTCGGGTGAGTTTACAAAGAGATACATAAGTCATTATACATCGAAAGGGGTTTAAAGACAAATTTTTTTTTTATATGAATATCACGTTTGATCATTTTTAATATTAGTGAAACTTATGAAATTTACTTTACTGTTTACAGATTTATAACAAATTGCAATACACTAAAACGTATTAAACTTTTTATCACAGATACAATTCAATAAAAATCTCAATTTGATAAAAACGTCATTTAAACCCCTCTTTACTGTGTATATTGACCCATATAATTAAATTGAAGTACAGGAAAATTTTTGGGCATGTCTCAAAAAAATTTTTTTTTTAATTTAAAGGCATACCTTCAAATTTTTTTGCACAATTTAATATATATTCTCTGATTAAAAGAATGTCCTGGGACAATGTGTTTCAACCCTACTTATAAAATAGAAAATTGGAATGATATTTGTATATCTGTATACTCAAGGATTTGCACTTTATAATGTAGTAATATTAAATGGATGCAATACCACAAACCCAAGACCTTCCGAGACCGGGCGGATTTCCCTCAGTTCGGTATAAGAGAAATTTACCCCAAAGAGGTCCTTCGGGACTTGTCATATTTACAGTTATTGGTGCCATTAGTGCTTTTGGTTTTTATCGCATAGGACAGGGAAATTTGGAAAAACGGTAGATAACATACCACTAAAATTTTAATTATATTAGATAAATAATACAAATTAATCTAATTTTTATATTTCATACATTGATTAATAATAGGGAACTTCATCGTGAAAAGCTTTGGTCACGTATACATTTAATTCCGTTGCTTACAGCCGAATTAGATCGAGATACTTATCGTCGTAATCAGGCTGCATTAGAGCGTGAAGCTGAAATAATGAAAGATGTACCAGGTTGGAAAGTAGGCGAAAGTGTTTATAACACTAAAAGATATGTAGGACCGACACAAATTGTAGTCCCTGAACAAAGTTAATTATTAAAAAACAGTAGTATTTTAGTTAAGAGTTGCGACCTAAACCTTCGGGATTTCTACTTTATTTAGAATAACATCCGAAACCAAATATATGTCCCATTTCGATCAATAGTGTCAAACTCAAATATTAATCAAATAAATGATTAAATCTAAAAGACCTGTGATTTAACGATTAAGCAGAGTATGTTGAATAAGAGTTGTAGTTAGGTCTAATAGTTATGTCGAAATTTGTACTAAATGAAAAATAATCATAAAAGTGAAAGCTTTTCACATCTAAAATATAATTTCAAATATAATAAAATTATAAACCTTTCGACCAAATTTCCTTTTAAATTCGAATCTAAATCCCAATTGCTTTTAAAAAAGCAAAAATCCTTAATAAAAATCAATCCATTATAGCGTTAATTAATAATAAATGAAGCATCTGGAAAATGTGTACCAGGTTGGTGCGCCACAATGACTTGATAGGTCAATTAAAAAAAATAATCTAATGCTTAGAATAAAATTAAGACTATAAAAACATTTAATTTGATAAAATTAAACAGTCATTCTTAGCTTACTTTTTGTATATTTTATTTTCTATAATTTTAACTAGACATGAGATTTCATATATATTTATCCTATCAAAATTTTGTATAAAACAATTATGTAAGCTTCTAAGATTTAAATTTCAATACAGTTTTATCTTTATTTATTAATGAAAAATATTAAGAATTTTCTTTTGTTATCTTAGTGTTGCCCTTTTTTTGCATGAAACAATTCGTACATTGATGTAAATTCATGTGTATGTTCTATCTCTAATTTTAAGAGTAGAGAATACTATTTTAAAATTATATATAAACTTAATAGCAAATTTTTTTATTTTTTAATATTACAAAATATTTTCTTGAATAAATATTTTTATCCTTTCAAGTAAAGTTGTAGAGCATATTCTTGTGATTCTAACAGTAGTAAATTTATTAAAATTTATATAAAATTTATTAAAATATACTAATTTTAAGATCATGTATTATTTTTTATTATAAAGTTTATATTATAGATTTATATAAATTAGCCAATCAGAATAGAGTAGTTTTGTACTATCTAAGTTTTTTTGGGTCAACCTAAGTTTTTTTAAGATATATACAAATATGATTTTTTTAAATCAAATAAACTTTAAAATTTTATAACAAGAAATATATTATTTTAAACTATATATAATAAAAAAAATTTATAAATTTTAAAATTAAAAAAGTTTTATTAAAAGCAAAATTTTGATTACTATATAAAAAAAAATTAGTCGCTCAAGTGGAAAAAAAAATAAAAATAAAAATAAAAAAAAATTAGCAATTAATTTCATATAAAAAATAATCTATATATTCTTTACTCTTAATGTTTTTTAAATTTTTTTCAAATCTAATTCTTGTTTGAATACAATATTCTATTTGAAAAGAATTTATTAATGATAAGATCTGGTAATCTTAGTATAGTAATTAGGTTGCTAAACTGCTATGCAAAAAGTTTAGAGTTCAAATCTTACTGTTGACAAATTTGAATAATTACTTAGACTTTTGTACTCAACTTATAGTAAACTCTGTTTGTTTCTAGGGTTGTAACTCTGTATATTATATTGTATTAATATTATTCAGATATTAGAAGTATGACAAGGTATTTGGAGAGATATAATATTATATGAATAAATTTTGATAGGATCTACAGGCAGAGGATCTGCATAGTAGAAATCCTTAGTTAATAAAATAGTACAGCTTTTAACAGTCACATCAGCTAACACTTGATCTAAAAAAAAAACTGTCACTCTGAAAATGTAGATCAAGAGAAATATGAGTAAGTCTGTTCTACAAGGAGAATTAGCAAAACTAATCTGACTTAGCAGCTAATTGAATTAGAAGAATCTAATTTATGAAAAATCTAAAAAGATCAGTAAACAAAAAACTAGTAAAGAGCCACAGTAAGAACTAGAGTTGTATGAATATCTACAAGGGTCTAAGCTAGGTAAATCTGTGAAATGAGTATAGACTACTTTAATAGATATGCTTCAAGCTTAACTAGAGCTTTGTAAGCTCATAATATGTTAAGCAATAAGCATCTTGAGAGGATCTAAGCTAGAGTTAAAAATAGATCTGTAATAAGCTAGCTGACTTAAGTAGTTAAGTATTACAATAATATTAGCTTGTAACAGTATGAGTTAGTTGAACAGAGTGTTTAAATAGATAATTTACAGGTGAGTTACAGATATAGCAGCATAGTATAGAACTAATTAGGTAGTCTATCATCTGTGCAGTAGACTACTTAAATTAGACAATAACTAAAGTTATACGTGTAGCTTGTTGTATACTCTTCATATAATTACAAACTGTAAGAATTGTCTATATATAACAAACTAATAAAAATCGCCTAACAATATAAGCTACTGTTACAGATAGCGTAGCCTTCTTAGTACACTATAAGTAACAGCGACATGGCTATCTAATTACTTTAAGAAGCGGTGTCCAAGAGGGAAGTTTCTTTAACTGATTGTAAAGACAAGTTCCACTCTACAAGAGGCAGTTCATTCAGGTTTATTTAATAACAATATATTTATTAATTATAAATATTTTGAGTCAAGTACAAGAGGGGAAGGGAGAGTTGAGGTCTAAACAACTGTTGGGTAAAAGGGGAATTACTACTGGTATTTATACTTTTTAGATAGATGGCACTTAAGCGTCAAATAGATTCTCAAGTGTCAGATAAACGACACATAAACGGTATATAAGCGGCAGTTAAGCGGCATATAAGCAGCAATATATAAGCAGTGCTTAAGTGTCATATAGCGGTATATAAGCGGCAATTAAGCGGCACTTAAGCAGCAATTAAGCGGCAATTAAGCGGCACTTAAGCGGCAATTAAGTGGCAGCTAATTACTATAGGACTATTACTATTTTTCTCCAAATAACAAAATTATTACATCAACGAAGTCTATTACTAAACCTATTCTATAACATTTTCTCTCTCTTAAAAAAATTTGTTCTACAAATTTGTAATATTTAAAGAACAAAGCAATGTAGAAAATTCTAATTCCTTTAACTTTAGTATTTTCGTTATACTGACAGTTTCATTTTGATATAAGTGATTTTTATCACAAGTAGTAAAAAGTTTCTTTTGTCTCTGTGCACTAGTCCACAAATCTCTTGTTCGACGTTCTCCAAGTTTTTGCTCTAATCAGTTTTTAATTTGGTCATGATAGTTAATATTTTCTTCTAGGAGTTTTTCTAAGTAGTAATGGGTTTCCAGAATTCCTATACGTCCTTTCTTCGATTTCCGGCTTTCTTGTAACCGTTTAATTATTTTTTCTAATTGGTCTTTCCAGTCCAGAGCGAGGAATGGATTTGGATAACTTCCTACCGGCTTTAATAGTTGAGTTAGGTCATTAATAAATTCTTGAATATTTTCCAGTAAGATTTCTTTGTCAGCAGGAAGTTCAAATTCTTGATAAATTATTCCTGATTCTTCTGAGGTTCCGTTTAAAGTATTCAATTCCAAGTCTATATATTCTTCAAATAATTTATCATCTGTATCATTTAGAGAGTTTTCGCAATTAGTCTCTTCTAATTCAGCAGTAATATCTGTGATTTGTTCTGGTTTCTGGGGATCACAGATAAAAATATT